TTACCAAGCTGCATCTTGTTGCTTATAACTTATTGAATAGATTTTACCTCCAATTTATTGAATAGTAAATGTTCTTGGTCTGTGGAATTTGTTGACTTTTTTAATAAGCAGCCCAACTTAAGCCTGGTTTCACAGTCATTTGTTAAACCAAATGAGACATATTCTAAACACCATACAAAACAAATTCCTGTATTACTTGGAGGAAATTATGCAACATTGTTTAGTGCGTAAGCAGTGCTGGCGTGTTCAACTTAACATTGACTTGATTTCATCTTGGAAGTGGGAGATTTTAGCTTTGTCGTGGCAGGAAGGGAAAGAGAATGGCTTGGAAAGAGAAGAGGCAGAGTTCCAGACAGAAGGTGTGATTACAGAGAGACCTTGTCAAGGTCAAGTGCCGATTTTGGAACTTGATTTCCAAGAAAGGATGGGCTTCTCTCAGCCTGGATATGATCGATTTTCAACTGAAACATCCCATGAGATCACTTAAGTCTTGCCAGGTTCCTAATGTGTCAGCTGGGTGCAAAGCAGATTCTAGTGCTAATGTTAGTCCTCCGAGGAAAGTGATACTGCGAAGTGATACTGCGTTTCAAAATGCTCGTATCTAGGTAAGTTCCATTTTGACCTTGGCCTATTTTTAATATATTTTGAACTTCACAAAATTAAAATTAGACTTTTCCAGGTTAGATGGTTGGCTGGAAGAGAAAACCTTTAGGGTTTCCCACTCATGGCCACCTTCTATGCCCTTGAGTATCGTCATTCTCACGAGAGGACACAGAGAGAGCATGTATCACCGAGTCCTTCTTTGAGCTGCCTGCGCATCTGTGACCCACAACCTTTGGAGTTGATTTGAAGGTTTTAGAATGTGCCCATATTCTATTAAAAAAACCGTAACAGGTAGCTGGCAGGTTTAACCCCTTTGTGATCCTTGTGAATGAAGGCCGGTGAACTTGACGGGGCACTGCGTGATGCCCTGATCTCCCAGTGCCTTGGCTTTTCCTATCCTGTCTTTGGAACTGGAGCAGAACCCTTGAGCAGATTTAATGCTTACCAAGGAGTTGGCCTTTAACTTATTATAACTCCTTTGGCTTCATCCCATATGTTGAACTTAAGTAGTGAAATGTATCCATAAAACATCCTGTAGTAAGTAACGGAATATAGTCAACCAAACTTTCTTTTGTATTAGTAGTTCAGGCCTGAGGATCAGCATTAATAAGCTTCTGTTGCTTGTTTTAGATGATGGTGCCATGCTGAGATGGCCCCCATGCTGTGATATGCCCAGATAAACTATCTGGAGAGAAAAGTCCTTGGTAGAGTGGTGAGGGTGGAGGGCTGAGGGCATAACTGGAGCTCAGAGTACTTGGGGCACTTGAGGACGACAGCTCCCTGGGATAGAAGTCAGGTGTGAGGAGTCATAGGCACTAAGTGGGTCACTTGAGCCCTGATTTGAGACCGTCGACGGATGGTGGTCTCCTAGCACAGGCTATGGGATGCGCAGCTCCTCGGGAGTGCAGCTGCTGGTCCACATGCCTAGGGCAGGCCCACCATGTTGGAGGTAAGAACCCACCAGGTAATGAGAGTAGCTACACTGTGGGTGAGTGACGGAGCCAGACTGTGGTTGGTGTACTGATAACAGAGAGCGTGGGCCAGCATGTTTAGGAATTACTGCTTCTTAAAAAGCAAATAAGCGGGGCGCCTGGGTGGCTTAGTTGGTTAAGCGTCCGACTTATGCTTAGGTCATGATCTCACGGTTCGTGGGTTCGAGCCCCGCGTCGGGCTCTGTGCTGACTGCCAGCTCAGAGCCTGGAGCCT